TTCCCAGGGCAACCTATTTGGGCTCTCTTCTGTCTGTCTGTCTGTCTCTCTCTCTCTTTCTCTCAGACAGAAGCTTTGTTTCCCTCAATAAATATATTCTGCTCTTAACATTTGTTGTTCCTAAAATTCATTCTTTGATTTTAGAGAACACGAATTCATCCCAGATATCATTCAGGTTGGGAGTTTTTCTCTCCTATATAAATGGGATCTAGAATGGGTTGGCAATGCTCTGGGGTCAGAAGTAGTGAAGGGCTCTTCTGACCTGCGTCCTTTGTGTCAAGTTCAGTTCTGGGGAGTGAGGGCATAGTCAGCAATCTCAAACCTATTAGAGTCCCAAGGACTTGGAGCTGAGAAGACTGTTTTTCATTCTCTTGGATCTGGAGGCCAGAAACCTGAGGTGGAAGTGTAGGAGGGCGGGCTCTCTCTGGAGGTTCTGAGGTAGGAGATTAGGACATGGCAAAGGGCAGGGCAATTGGACGTGACCTGTCAATCTCAAAGACCCTTCAAACCGGATCTGACATCAGAAGGGGGATATAAAAGATGGTGGCCATTCATCTGGCCACTGTTTTTTTGCTCTTGTAGTGACTCACTATGCATGTAGGATGTATTTTCTTTCCAAAGAACTTCTTTTCACTTTTTTCTTCTTCTACCTTTAATAGATGTTAAACTTCTTAAGTTCTTCAGTTGTCCCATCCAATTCTTTGAGAGCAAGACAAGAGCCTGGAGAGGACCACTGGGCACCCCCCACCCCTAAGTCTGGTAACAGTTCTAGGGGAGAATCCATTTCCAGCTCATTCATGGCTCCTGGTGGCCCTGGTGACCTCTCCCCACAGGTGCATCATTGTGTCCCGGATTTGGTTGTCACACAGCACTCTCCTTCTGTGTCTGTGACGTGGCTTTTGAAAACACACAAGCCACCCTAATCCACCATGACTTCAACTAGTTACAGCTGCAAAGACTTTTCCAGAGAAAGTCTTTTTGTTGGGGTGGTTGTTGTTTTTTGAGACAGGATGTGCTTGAACTCCTAATCCTCCCACCTCCACCTCCTGCGGGCTGGGATTACAGGAATGCGCCACCATGCTCGGTCAAGTAAAGCTCTGTTTTGAGGTTCCTGGTAAAGGTGAATTTGGGGGAGACACCGTTCCGCTCAGGAGAGGTCATGTGCAAACCCTTTGTTGCAAGAGGGGATGTGAAATGTGTTTGGGAAGGGGGTCTTTGGCTTCACAAAGGTACCAGATTTACCCTCCCATCAATCTTGGGAGGCCATTTCTGCTGAGGATGCTCTGGTTCTTCTAGAAAGGGGCTAGGGTGTCAGACACAACCCCCCCATCCCTATCACAAGCCTGCCCACACACACCTTTTCCTCATGCGCACATTTCCAAAATGTCCATCCCTCCGCCCACAGGTGGAGCATCTGAGCACTTCCTGCTGTTCCCTTGCCATGTAAGCTCACGTCCCTGGTGGGCAGACTCCTTGTGTACAGGGCAGCCCTACCCCGCTGGGCTCATCCCTTTCTTGAATATCCTGGAGACCTTCCCTCTGCATTATACCTAGGGCTGTCATTGCTTAGGAGCCCTCAGTCTGCTTCAGATTCATGCTAACCCACCTTGCAGATGTGCAGGACCACTTCCAACCCTCCCGGGGTGAGGGGCGCTGAACACAGGGCTGGGGGAGAGAGGGGATCGGAGGCGCATGCGCACCAGCACACGCTACACCATCTCCAACTGCGCAACGCCCTGTGAACTCCAGTCCCAGAGTCACCCAGATGTTTGACACTGCAGATTCTGGAATTCTTGCTTTTCTCTCAGCCCACTGGTCGGGATGGGCTCTGACCTGCGGTAAGGATGACTATGAACGTGGGGCCAGAGGGGGCCCTGAGTGCGTCTCCTATAATCCAGCTCCCTCAAGAGGGCAGCAGCTCTTTGGGGAATGGCAGGCCAGGCCAGAGAGGAGGACCTCCTTTAGGCTGAAGACACCCAAGGGTACTTCCTCAAGGTCTGGTTGTTGGCGGTCGGGATCTGTCCTGTGTCTCCTGGAACTTTTCTGGTATCCATTTCTCCAAGAACATATATGAGCCTCGTGTATGTTAGGCTTGACACCAGATAGAGCAAGAGACAGGTAGATAAAACAAGCCTTTATTGCCGGCGTGGGAGGGTTACAGAAGATTGCAAGGACCCTCGGAGGAGGGAGCTGGGAAGCAGGTTTTTATCAAATTGGAGTAGAGGTGGAGTTAATATGGGTAGGCGATGAGTCCTCTCGCGGGGGGATTGGGAGTTAGTTGGAGCATGCGTAAAAGGGAGTAGGAAGTTTATCTCAAGGTCTGAAGAAGAATAAAACAGTATGTATCCTGGCCAGCGTCATTCTGGAATTCTGGATGTCTATCAATGTGAAGCTGCAGTGGGTGTTCAGAAATGTTTGCTAAATGAGTAACAGACCTATGAAATTGTATTTTCAACAGATTTTTTTTTTTTTTTCTTTTGCTGTGCTGGGGATCAAACCCACCGAGCTTGGTCAGGGCTTTATCAGGGTGGGTATAGAGGTCCACTGTGTTGGAGGTCTACTGTGTTGGAGAGGGTGGAAATCAGACGCTGGCAGAGGGGACATTAGAGGGTATGGATTTGCTGGTCTGGTTTTGCTCTTTCTCTACATCCAAGGCATCCTTCTCATCCTGGGCCAGCCCATCTCCTCCAGGAAGCCTTCCAGCCTCCCCAGGCCTCACTTTCCTCTCCTCCCTAGACCCTGTAGCCCTGCATGGCACCCATAGCCCTTACTGCCCTTGGTGTCTCTGGTGGGGACAGAACTGGCTGTGGGCTGGGGATCCTTTGCATTTGGGGAGGAGCCTTTCAGCCAGGCAGCTCCCTCTGTGATGTGAACAAACCCCTTCCCCACAGCCCTCTTCCTGGGGCCACTCGGTACCACAGGAATACATGCACGAGATGGCTGAGGTGGCAAATACCTGTAATCTCAGCACTTTCAGAGACTGAGGCAGGGGGATTGCAAGTTCAAGGCCACTCTGGGCAATTTAGCAAGAACCTGAAAGTAAAAGAAAAAAAAAAAAAAAGGGCTGAGAGTGTGGTTCAGTTTTAAGGCCCTGGGTTTAATCCTTAAGGCGAAAACAAAACTACCCTCTCCCGTATCCTAAACAGCCCCAAGTGATCCCAGAGAGGAATTCCTCATGAGCAGAGCTGGGCAAAGTCAACAAGCAAGCTTGGTTTGCTTGGAAATAGATGGTGTCTAGATTGTAACTCATGCACTCGAATGCAGGGTATCTGCATTCCACCGGCCACCATCCAGAGACAAAAAATACAAGGTTCTGCATTTTTCTTATTTTGGTGGTTGTTTTATTTTGGTTTTTAATCGACACATATTAATTATACAAATTTATACAGTACAGCATAATGTTTCAATACATGTGTAGGTGATGTAAGGATCAAATCAATGTAATTAGCATTTTTGTTACCGCAAACATTAATTGTTCCTTTGTGGTGAGACTCAAAATCCTCTCTCTTAGCTTTTCTAAAATGTGCGGCACATTGTTACTGACACAGCCATCCTGCTGTGTATCTGAACCCCAGAATATATCCTTCCCCCTAACTGTAACTTTGTACCTGTTGATCAGCCTTTTCCCTCTACCCTGCCCTCCCCAGTCTCTGGCAATCTGTTCTGGTCTCTACTTATATGAGACCAACAATTTTAGGTGCATATAAGGGAGATCACATGGTATTTGTCTTTCTGTGCCTGGCTTATTTCACTTAAAAAGTGTCCTTTTTCCTGCTGTCACAAATGACAGGATTTCATCACTCCTGATGGCTGAGTAGTATTCCTTGTGTATATAAGGTGCATTTCCACTACCCGTTTACCCAGTGATGGATACTTGGGTTCGTCCCACCCATACCTTGGCTATTGTGATCAGTGAGCACATCCTGCTTCCTTCTCTTTGGGTGCACACTCAGGGCTGGGATGGCTGGGTCACATGGTAGTTCTAGTTTTGTTTTTTGGAGGTCTTCCATCCTGTTTTCCTAACTTACATTCCCACCAACGGTGTCTGCGCTTCCCTTTCTCCACATACACAGCAGCACTGGCCATCTTCTGTCTTTTTGATCCTAGCTGTTCTAAGAGGAATGAGGCAGTGCCTTGTGGGATGTTGCTTTATCGGGAGCCCCCATAAGACTCTTTGCAGAGACCCTCTGTGGCTACCTCAGGGAGGCCAGGTCACCTCCAGGCCCTGCCTCCCCTCCAGGAGTCGCCTCTCAATTGTGCTCTCGCGCTGACTGGACATGATTCCTGGGCCTCTGATTGTCTGTTCCGCCTGGCACACACTGTCTGGCCCCTGTCAGAGTGCAGTGTGACCTCTCGAGGAGAGTGAACGGGTCTGGCAGGGTGCAGGGCGCAGAGGTTGAGGGGGCAAGGTGACCTCAGACTCCAGTCCAGGGATCAGGTGGGGGACGAGGCAGACTGTCTGGGCTCAGCACCAGCCAGATGTGGGTCAGCAGGGGGAGCACAGGTGACTGGCTGCAGACACACTTGGTGACGGGTGCACCAGCATGGGCAGTTGATGCCACCAGCATGTGCCCAAGGACCAGCCACACAAGCCACTCCCCCTGCCTGGACAAAGGTGCCGTCTCAAGGACAGGAGTTGGCTGGGGGAATGAGCTTTCGCACCTGGGCCAGATGCCTGTGACCCACCTCTAGAGACTGTTTCCATAGCCAGCTTCAAACGGGATCTGTCGAAAGGCTATTCTCTGTCCTTTGACTAGATGATCTGCTATATGCGAAGAAATTACACCAAATCTCCCAGTTAGATCCAGGATGCAATGTGGTGATGGTGGTAGGGGGGTGGCATGCAGGAGAGTGACTCCAGTACAGTGAGCGGAGAAGCCTTTGGAGCTTCCTGCAGCAGGAGAGCCAGGACATTGCCGAAGGGGTGGGAGGGGCTGCAACCCCACTAAATACCCCACTACAGGGTGTGGTTTATAAAGTGAGAGGCTCAGTGGGCCACCTTAGATGCCCTCCTGGGTGCCTGTGGAGGGTGTCTCCCTTTCCTCCAGCTCGGGCTCCTCCTGTAGTGCCCGATCCAAAACGACATTCATGGACTCCTTCAGTTTCTGGTGCCTCAGGCTGCCCACCAGGAAGTAGATGACCGGGTTGGCGCTGCTGCTCACAGAGGAGGAGAAGCGTGCCAGGCAGAGCCACAGGAGCTTTGTGTGCGGCCCCAGGTCCGTCCAGAACACAACAAACCAGTGGATGCCCAGGGGCAGGGAACAGACCAGGAACACAAAGACGGAGGTTAAGATGACCACGTACAGCCTCCGGGGCCGCCGCCGCCCCAGCAATGTACTCTTCCGCACCTGGACAAAGAGGGTGACGCTGGATATGGCCATCACAGGGGTGAAGACTCCCATGATGAGGGTGCTCATGGCGATATCCACCTTGAAACAGTCTTTCTTGTTGAAATGGGAGAACCTGGTGCAGAAGCAGGAAGCCAGCATGTTCATGGTGAAGCACAGGGTCCAGAGCAGGGTGAGTACTGTGGTTGACAGGTGCTGGGGCCGGTGGCACCTATACCAGATGGGGTAGAGGACTGAGAGGCAGCGCTGGGTGCTGATGGCTGTGAGCAAGCTGAGGCTGGTGGTGTAGGCGAAGTACTTCACCCTTATCATCACCTCGTAGGCCATGGCGAGAGAATTGAAGTCCTCGGTGGAGCTGTCATCGACGAGATCCCAGTCAGGCAGGGGCTGGGTCTCCAGGCTCACTACAGAGGCCATGCAGAGGAGGAAGAGAAGGTCGGCCACCCCCAGGTTGAGCATGTAGATGGAGAAGGGGGTGCGCCGCACACGGCAGCTCAGCAGCCAGATCACAATGCTGTTGCCCACTATCCCACACACAGAGGTGACCATGGTCAGGAAGATCATAGCAAAGTAGGTCCAGGTCACTGCGTCCGCCCCGGAGCTGCTGGTGGAAGGTGTTGGGGTCATCCCTGCAAAGGAAAATGGGCCAACATGAAACTCCATGTTGCGTGCACTCGGGACTTGTGGGAGCCTCCCAAATTTCTAACTTTGGGGTTGTTATGCCAGTTCCTCTGGCATCTGCCATGAGCCTCTCCCTGGGGCTGTCACTCACCCTGATTCTGCCATCAGGTCTCCCACTGTGGGTACCAACTTGCTATTGATGTCCCTTCTCAGGCTAAGGTCTCTTCTATTCTGAGTTTCTTTTCTAAATTATGGAGAAGCATCAAATGCTTTTTCTACATTTCTTGAGATTATCATTTTTTCTCCTGTCATCTTCACATCCCATGAAATTATTTTCTGAAAATTAGACCTCAGGAGCAAAGAGATAATTAATTACATCTCTCAGTTTGAGGCACAATGTGACCATCAATCCATGTCAAAAATCCCCCACGTACATCTCCCCTCATCATCTCTAGCCTAGCTTCTTTTTGTTTCTGTTCTGATCTGGTAAACACGGGTCTTGGGACATCTGCACATCTTGCAGCGTGGCTGTTGTTCAGAGTCTGGGGCATCTTTAGGAAGGAAAATGGACCAACGTGAAATTCTGTGTTGCATGGACCAGTAAGACCTTTCAACATCATTTTACACTCTTTTCAAAAGTAGAGAGGCTGCCCATCAGCATTTGAAATCACGTAAACATTGTGATTTAGAAGTTATACTGTTTTTATTTCATTCCACAGTATGTGCTTAGAATATATCCAGCTGACTGTAAGGAAAGGTAGTTTGTTGTGACAAAATTTCATGATGTCCATCAACCCCATTTTACTTGTCTATTTCTTCACTGTGGATTTCAGCCTTTGGATTTCCTAATGCCGTTATCCTAAAAATACTAGAGTGAACATCCTTATGCAGGTCCCTGTTTCACTAGACTCGGGATTCTCCTGGTATATGTTCCGGAAGTGGGGTTGCCAGGCCATGGACTGAGCACTATCGGGTTAATTTTCTGAATAACAGCTCCAGATTTCACTTTCATGCTAGGGCAGAGACATTCCCACATCTGCATCCCCTTGCTCACATGTGGCTTCCTGCATTTTCCTCATTTTTGCCAATTGGATGTTGGCAAAGTGACATCTGGTGTTCCAGCTTGAACTTGACTCTCAGTCCATACATCTGATGACCACTTGGGCTGCCCCAACTTTGAATTGCCTGGCCACATCTGCCGCCCATGTTTTCCCAACTGGGTTTCCCTTCTCCTCCCCTTCCTTATTTGCAGTCATTGTTTGTATTTCTAGGTGGTAATCCCTTCCTGGGTTTAAACATTGCTGGTATTTTTCCCTGAGAATTCTTGCTCATGACAACTTTCTCAATGGTGAACACTGGTGGGCAGACACCCTCAATTCTGGAAGAGCCACCTCCATATTGTTTCAGCTTTAAATGGTGAGCCGTTTGGATCTTGTTGTTTCATATCCCTGGGTGAGAAAAAATATTGCTTATATTTTCCTGTATTATTTTTACAGTTTTTCCCTTTTGATTTTGGTCCTGGATCCAACTGAAAGCTATTTTTTTTATGAGAGAGGAAGTAAGGAGACAGCTTGATTTTTCCTTCTTATTATGGGCCAGATTTCCTAATGCCATCCCCCGCATAGCTTGTCCTTTCCCTGTTGATTTGTGAAGCTCCCGTTTATACATGGGCTACTTTTGAGCCCATTCTGTGTCAGTGGTTTATTGGTTCCTTCAGCATTAACATAGCACTGTCAAATATGTATGGCTTTGTGCTGTACCAAACTTGTGACCTGTATAGTGTGAAGTCATGGTGTGCATGCCATGAAATATCACTCCAGTCCCAGGTCATTTCTCACATCCTTCAACAGAATTAAGAAGAGCTTTGGAATTTTCCTTACAAAAGTTCTATACATTCTGTATCATGTCAATGTCTCAACATTGCTAGAGTCATTTGCTGACATGGTAAATGGTATTTTATTACATCTAAAAAGGTTTTATTTAGTTTTTAATTTGACTTCTGATGCAGAGAATTGGATTTTTGTTTTGTTTTGTTTTGATTTTTTTGAGACAGAGTCTCACTGTGTAGTCCAGGCTGGCCTTGAACATACTGTGTAGCCTAGGCTGGCCCCAAATTCACAGTGATCCTCCTGCTTCAGCCTCCTGGCTTGAGAATTGGAGTTGTTGTTTTACTTGTTTTGTGATATTCTCCTGATATTAGCCCAGGTATAGCATAGCCCCTTTCCATTTTTGTGTTGGTATATGTTTGTGTTTATGTTAATGGTTTTTTTTTTTCTTTTTGAGACAAGGTCTCGCTATGCGGTTCAGGCTGGCCTTGAGCTCACTTTGTAGCCCAGGCTGGGCCTCGAACTCGCAACGATCCTCCTGCCTCAGCTTCCCGAATGCTGGGATTACACGCGTGCACCACCACGCCCTGCTTATGTTAATGTTAATATAGGAAATCACCATCCAAAAGGAAAATTATAATTTTGAGAATAACTGATTTAATTTTGGCTGCTGTGTGGAGAACAGACATATAAAGTCAAGAGCAGAGGCTGAGCTTGGCATGGTGGTGCATGCCTGTAATCCCAGTGCTCTGGAAGGCCGAGGCAGGAGGATGATAAATTTGAGTTCAGCCTGGGCAACTTAAAATAAAAAAAGAAAAAAGCACTGAGATGTAGCTCAGTGTGAGCCCTGGGTTCAATCCCTAGGACAGTATCATGGGCCGTTAGAGGGGAAGAAAGGAAAGAGGAAGAAGGTAGAGAGCAGGTCATGAGAAGCAGCTGGATTTGGGATAAATGTGAAGGTAGAGCCCATGAGTGAAATGAAACGGACACTGGGCAGCTCAACCCCTATATTCAGTCTTAGGTGTGCTAGTTCGCTCATTCACTCACCCTGTGAGGTCTTACTGTTGTCCAGTCCCCTTCTGTGGATGAACTGGACACCAGCAATGTTAGGGTTCCGATTTCCCTACATCCCTCACCAGCACTTGTCTTCTTCATTATAGTCTTCCCAGTGGGTGTTTGAAGTGATGTGTCCCTGTGGTTTTGATTTGCATTTTCTGAATGACTAATGATGCTAATGTACATCCTTGGAGAAATGTCTGTTCAGATTTTTTTCCACTTTTAAATTGGGTTGTGGTTTTATCATTGAATTGTTAGAGTTTTTTATAAACTCTGTACACTAAACCGTTGTGAGCTGTGATGCAGAGATTTTTTCCTGTTTGGTAGGTAACCATTTCATTTTCTTGGTATTTATCAAGAGATGAAAGATCTTAATTTTCATGAAATCCAATTTATCCATTTTTTTATGCTCTCAATATCTTATCTAAGAATCTACTGCCAAATTCAAGTTGCAAAGATTGGTCCCTGTGTTTTCTTTTGAGAATCTTTTTTTTTTTTTTTTTGAGACACGGTCTTGATTTGTAATTGAGGCTGATCTTAAACTCACTGTGTAGCCTAGGCTGGCCTCAAACTCACAGCAGTCCTCCTGCCTCAGCCTCCTGAGTGCTGGGATTATAGGAGTGCAACCCTCACTCCCAAGGATCTTATAGTTTTAGCTCTTTTTCTAAGGATTTCATGTTTTTGTTTTTTGAGACAGGTCTCATTATGTTGCCCAGGATGGTCTCAAACTGCTGGGTCCAAGTGATCCTCCCATTGCAGCTTTCCAAGTAAATACCTGGAACTATGGATGTGCACTGCCTTGCCTGCCTGGTTTTAGCTCTTACATGTAGGTTATTGATCCACTTTAAATTAACTTTATTTTTTTTTTTTTTATTTTTGAGACAGAGTCTCACTAGGTAGTTAGTCTTGGACTCTCTCTGTAGCCCATACTGGCCTTGAGCTTGTGGCAATCCTCCTGCCTCAGCTTCCTGAGTGCTGGGATTACAGGCATGCGGTACCATGGCCAGCTCCCTTTTGAGTTAATTTTTGTGTATGCTGTGTTACCTTTATTTTTGAAGAATATTCTTTCTCAATAAAAATTGTATGTTGACAAGTTTCTCTCTGTGTCTCTCTGTCTTTCCCTCTCCCAGAACCGTGCTAAACCACTTTGTGTACTAATCACACCCTTAATCCAATATCACACACTCATGATCTACCCAGCTCCCAAAAGCCCCATTATGAGCACATGAAGCTTTGGGGGGGATCCAGATATAAGACATAAAACTGGATATTGTGAGTTTTACATTGTTGAATGTCTTTTTTTAAAAACTCCCTTAAGAGTGGTGGGGTGGGCTGGGGATTTAGCTCAGTGGCACAACACCTGCCTGGCAAGCACAAGGTCATGAGTTCGATCCCGGGTACCGGAAAAAAAAAAAGAGTGGTGGGTTTCTAGTGGGTATTGATTCTTAGCTATGACACTCACTCCCAAACCCCACTAGGGTTTGATTCTTAGCTATGACAGCATGACAAAAGAAGAAAATAGGTAAATTGGATTTGGTAAACAAATTTAGAAGGATCTGAAGCTTGTTTGAGCTTTGTTAGGCCTAGTCTTGGGCAGCTGCTGAGAGGCTTTGCAGGATTCCTAGCGATTGTCCCGGTGACTGATAGAGTCACTCCACTCTGGCTTCTCTGAACCTGACTCTCTCCCAGCTGTGTGAGCGCTGGGAATTGCTCAGCTGACAGCTAATCAGTAGCCAGTTTTGCCCAGATTCCCTATGCCTCATTGTAGGGAATGGCTGAAGCTGGGGATTGGTCATATGTGTGTGGGCAGGACAGGGCCAGAGTGCCTGAAGCAGGCAGGCTACCTCAGTCTTGAGAGGGCCATCCTGCCTGGACAACTTCAGTCATTAGGCACTAGGAAACCTTGTGTTTCATGATACTAACTTTGTAAAAGTATAAATAAACACTCCTACTGCTGTTGTTCAGTTCTTCTCCCATCAGGAGAGAGAGGACCTCCACCTGACTTCTATCTTGTCTCTTGTCTATATTTTGCTCATGCCTGCCACTGTTTTTCCTGGGACCACTGAGAGCCCAACCTGAACAGGAAACCCAGTAAGAACAGGTGGGCAGTGGGAACCCTTCTCAAGTACTCGCAACAGCGAAGAGAAGTGAATTGGTTAG